TTGAGCGAAATTACAGTCATTTTTGGGTGATTCAGACGTTCCGAACGTAATGATGAAGTCCGTTTTGCGATCAGACATTGTTTAGGCGGCATCATGCATCATTTTCTAGTGTCGGTCGTTGATTTTGACTTGTCTCGTTCGATTCGACTGCGAGCTGGTCCCACTTAGACAAATTTGATGCTCTGATTGCAACATCGCACTCTGTTCAACAATCGGAGGTCGTTTGTCCTTTCAAGTAACGTGTCGCACCTGTCGACCGTCATTTGAGTCGCCCGTTTCATTCCTTTTGCACGTTTTTGATACATGGGTCAATACTTAAAAAAATAATTCTTTTTCTTTATGCCAAAAAAAATTTATAGGTTGTTTTGTGTGAAATTTGATATATGTCTAAACACATTAATTTCTATTCTAATCAAACATACAAACCTTCGCAATCTTTTGTTTTAGGCCACAATCATGTGTAGGAATCATCTAGAGTAAAAAATATTCTCTAAAATTGGATGTTTTATTTCCTTCATCAACAATCATATTTTTATCAATTGAAAAATTTGAAGAGGGATAAATCTTTTAAATATTTCAACACCATGATTTACACTCAATTTTAGTTCAAAATCCAAGTTCCAATAGTTGACAATGCTAAATAATATTTCAAATCGGTCTTATGAATTTATCTCCAAATGAAGGCGTTAACCATCAATGCTCTTGTGTTAGCATCTCTTAACAAAATAGGATTTTTGATAGGAAAAATAGACACACCATTTATAGGTGGGTTAATCATTAATGCTCGTAATAAATATTCCTAAGTGTCTATATTGTGAGAGATGTTGCCCTAATAGCTACATATATCTAATAAAATTCTTTCTGCTAATATTAAATTTTAAACCATTATTCAAACCCATGTTTACCCATTTTCAAGTTTAAATTATTTCTTCTATTTCCTCAAAAAATTGTTACACCGATCCATTGGACCGGTCTAGCTGGTCCACGCGGGATCGGCCCAAGCACGAACGAGGCGGACTGCCTTCGCCTCCTTCCGCGACCGATCGCACCGCAGGCGCCTAAGGATCATTTTAGGAAGGATTTTTTAGGGTTTTGGGAGGGAAATTTGAATGTAGGAACTGTTTAGGGATTTCCTTTTGATTTGTATGCATTAAATACTTTGTTTTCTTAGAGTTAGGGCATCTTGAATTTGGCTGAAATTTGAGATCTCTTAGATTTTAGGTTTCCTTTGGGCTCAAGCTGCGTCTAGAGATTTGGGAGAGATCAATCCTCCTCTAGAATAGAGGATCAAGTGTATCTCGCTATTTTCCGTTTTGCTTTCATCAAGTAATACAAATTATCTACTGTTTTTGTGATTTTGTGCGGATTCTTGTGAAGAATTCTCCCTATTTTGTGAAGATTGATAGGAAATACTCGCGATCTACAAGTACTTCCTATCAAAAATCTTTAGCTGTTTTGTCTTTTTTGGCATTCATTCTCAGCGCCAAAGTAAATTAGATCCTAAATTTATCAAGAATAGCACCTGCTCACTAGGAAGAAAGCTACAATTCCATGGACATCACTTTCTCTAAACACCAATCTTAGTATAAACCCAAAATTCAGGGAAAAAATTTCGAGCATAAAAATTTCAAGATTAGAATCTAGTTGATCATCTGCCATCCTCTCTTATCAAAGCCATGAATGAACATTTCTCATTTCCCCTTGTTCAGCCTACAAAAGCCTCACCAAGCCATAAACTCTATCATCAGTTCATCACCTTATCAGTACATCCAACCTACTAAAGACTCATTAGAACCGTAAAATCTTACGCTTGTCAATAAACCAAACTTATTTAGAATGAGCTTTATTTGTATGCTAGGAGGAAGGAAAAAATCAAGGAGAGGGGCAATCAACATATCTTCGAGAACCCTTACCTGGTTCAAGGACCAATGAAGGTACAAACTAGTGATAATAATATATGATTTCATGACTACTAAAAGGCCTTCACATCGAATTCGTATTTTTTGTCAACTATTTTTTGATAAAATATGAATTCCAAGCAATGCTCATGAAACTATCAAAACTCCAAGTGGAAGAAAGTTGTAATGGTAGAAATCCAAGCCACCATAGAAAAATTATGGTACATGGGAAATTTTTTAACTTCCACTAGGGAAAAAAATTAATTAGTTGCAAATGGATCTTTTCAATCAAATAAAAAATTGATGGGATCGTGGTAAGTTTTTTTTACTTCCACAAAGAATTTTTAGATATATCAATAATTCTCTTGGAAAAGATTTGATTTAGTAGAAACAACCATTTAAGAGCTGGGTTTTATTATGATATTGATTATGTTAGATCAATTGAGGATCAAAAATTGCTTTGGGATAGAAATCTCTTCTCCTGTAGAAGCAGCAATTGTTTATATGTTTTGTGTAGAAATTGAATGTACAGCTATGCCTCTTTCTACTCGCGAAATAATATGATTAAAATAATAGTAGAAGAATCTTCTTTACATATCCTCGACCATTAACTCTGATAAAAAGGTAGCTATTTGAATTGCAAATAATTCTATCTTTCATGAAAAGAACAAAACATATCGAAGTGTAGTGTATTGTCACTTTATCGAGATACAGTTGTGTCCTCACATCTTTAGTGGAGAAAAATCAATCGATATGTATACCAAGGTCCTGTGCTTTTTTTTTTTTAGTAATAAGTTGAACTTATCAATATATATGCTGCTGAGGCTTGAGGGGGAGTTTTGTCATCATAGAAAGTAGTTGATTAGATAGATACAGTTTTATTATTGTATTTTATCCAAAGAATTGAGGTTATTCTCCTTTTTTTTCCCTCCATTCTTCTTGTTTGTTTATATATAGGCAACTATATTCAATCAATAACATTTAACAAAATATTTCCTGTTCGATAGCATCTATTGAAGTTATCATTGTGGGAAAAAAACTGGTAGGTTTGATATGTATATCAATGGGTAGAAGATGTACCAATAAAATGGATGATAAAGTGATTTTAAAGTAATAAAAAGAAAAAGGGGAGTATTGCAAATATAATTTCACAAATATTTGTATAAAATACAAAAAAAATAAAACCCTAGTATAACTCTTAACATGAATGAATGAGGAGGAAATGATTCATAAAATACAAATACCAAATAGCCTGGATAAACCTAATAGTGCTAGCATTGAAAATCTGATTCTATTTGTACTTTGGCCCAATAGGTTAACGCAAATCAAACTAGGGACCAATTTATGGCAGACTGAACTTGTAAGTACGGTCCAATTCTTTCAACAATGATTTTAACAATGTAATTATGGTAGAAGTTAGTATTAACACTTATCTACGTTCTTAATCATGCTTTGTTGGTATAATCTCATTGCAAAAACTGTGGAAAGGCTTAATTTTCAGTAAATGTTACGAGTGGCATAAGCAAGAAAACTTTTGGCATTTGCAACAAGTGCTTCTTAGTGGCAAATGAATCCTTTATTTCATATAGAAGGGTCCATTTGCGTGATCAATCTTTGGTTCATGATTTCTTTTTGTTCTCTCGCTTGAGGAGTAATTTAATTATAACTATGATACTTCAACACTTTGGTATGTTCGCGGTGGCGGTTCATGTACTTCTCAAGCATAAGCACTAATAACCAGAGCCCTGCATTGGGTACTCATATACCCACCCATACCCAAACATTGGGTATGTGTACGCCCATGGCCTTGTGGGTGGGTATGAGTGGGTACTCAACATCGGAAGAAAAATTGATTTACATTGCTAATCACCGTATATCTTATATTACTGCAATCCTCACTATATAGTGTGCAACACTTAACTATGCTATGACTACGATAAATTCTGATATGCGTATTGAAAGTTTGCAATCATAGCAAAGGGCAACAAGCCTCAAGACCATCAATCCGTGACAGGCTGCATGCCTGCATTCAAAAGGCATGGAAAGTGGGTGGGTACAGGTGGGTATGGCATTCCGAAAGTCACCATGGGTGGGCGAAGCCCGTTCAAGTAAAGCATGGGTACCCAACCAGGACCCCATGTAGGGCTTTGCTAATAACTCTCTTGGCATGTGGTGGCATTCTCGCCAACCCATGAGCATAAAAAGTTGAGGCTAGAGTAACTCTTGTGAGGGCATGTTCTTGGTCGCAATGCAGTGTGATTACTGGGGATCTTGCAACGGCCCCTAACCTACTTTATATTTAGGTTGCCAAAGTCATCATTGCTTGGGAAGACACAGCCGCAGCTGCCGTGACTTGGTTGTATGGATGCCCGCACCAGTCCCAAACTTACCCTTAGTAATCTGTTTTTTATGTTCTCATGCTTGTGTATTTCACTTGTATGTGGAAAAGCCACATCTATCTAGTCTTGTTTGGTGCTTATCCCACCTGTCCTTCAAATCAAATCAAGAAGAAAGATTAAACGTTGCCTTACCATCACTAACATACTGAGATGGTGCTATATGGTGTCTTTGGAAAGGGTATATTGATTTTCTACATCCTCATTTTGATTTAGTAGTTTAATTAGGTCAACATGTTACTGAAGTCCATCACAAAGTCTGTATTTACTCTTTCAATGAAGAAACCAGTACTGCATGCTTGATATGCATGCTAAGTGTTGAAATTCTTCTGATGCGGAGCATTTTAGTTATAGTATTCTTTAGGAATAGTTTATCCAAATTTGTTACAAGTATCTTCTAGAATATTCTTATTAGCCTATAAGTATGCCCGTATTGTAGGAGGAAAGGGTGATTATTGATGAAAATATATTCTCTTTGAAGCTTTTGAAGCTTAATTCTTGTCTTTGTTCCTATTCTTCCAACGATCATCACATCATCTTCTCTTTTTTTATTTATCATTTATTTTTTATCCACGTTTTTGCGAGTGCATCTAGCCATTAAACAATTTAAAAAACTATTCTTAGCAATAAGAGAATGGTGCTTGGTGCCTATTGCATTTATTGAGATTATGGTTTTATGGCGTCCTTATCTTCATTATGAATCCAGGGTCATCAGTACGAGACAGTATCTGGTTTCATCTGCGAATCATTTGGATATATACCAGAAGAAGGTCAAAAAACGTTCGTGGTGCTTGAAAAGGCAAACCATGAAGATAATGACGAGTACAATGAGTCAGAATCTGATCAACTGGATGAGAAGGAAAGATGTCAAACTTTTGAAATTGAGGTATATTGCACACTGAATTTTGACCTATTAAATTGATTTTTGTTGATACTGTACGGTTATACTTCTCTCTCTCTCTCTCTCTCTTCTTTGTTTCACAACGGACTGAAATATCAAAATGGCATTGTATTACTCGTTTGCATCATTTAATTTACTACCCAATTGCAATTTAGTAAATTCTGTATTCCATGCATGATCTGATCTTGATTTCCTTTCTTATGAATATCCATTTTCCCATACTTGCATTTCTTTAAATCCCATTCACAAATTTCTGCAGGTAGTTGGGAGTATAGATGACTTTGATATAAGCTATGTTTTGAACCAAACAACTCTAGCTTCTTCATCATACTGTAGTTAGGATAAACTCTTCCATCTCATATTAGTTATTTTGTCGCACATGTGAGTGACAATAGACAGTTCAAAACGTGAAAAATTATTGTGGGGACACCGGCGGAGAGAACCGTCTGGATTTGCTACGCTTTTGCTGCCATTTTATTGCGCTTCTGTCAATATTGAATGTTTACTAAACAATTGATTATTTGTTGCGTTTTTGCAAAAGGACAGCAAAAGGGCAGTAAAAACACATTCATAATTGAATATTTGCAGCCCTTTTACTTCCCTTTTGCAAAAGCGCAACAAAAGGGCAGCAAAAGCTCAGCAAATCCGGACGGTTCTCTCCATCTGGTGTCCGCACAGAATAATTTTTGCTATTGCATCTAACATGATTTGGTAATTGTAGATTTTAGAGGCTAGTGAGAGAAAGGTTGGAAAGGTACAGTTTAAGCCAATCAGAAACGGGAATACAAATTTGGAGGTCAAGGGCTTGAATCGCTTGGTTTCCACCAAAGTTGTGAAAAGGAAGAAGCAGGGTAATGGGGAACCAGATAAGATGTTCAGCTCTGATGAAATAGCAACAAGACCCGAGGACAAATTCTCCCACCGAATGGGGCTTGAAGATTCTTCTTCCTGCAAACCAGGCTTTCAATAGCGACGTTGCATCTCTCCATCGCTTCCTGTTCCTCTCTTAAATACAGAATAGCTGGAATTGGGTGAAAAGATTATTGCTGGAATGCAAATTCATGGTGGTCTTTAGTGCCCAGAAAGCTTTGCCTTCACTTATTTGTGAATGCACATCAGGAGGTTGAGATGACTATCATTGATGATAACAGTTCAGGGTGGAAGAACTACTTGAGCTGATCACTATCTTCCCTGCTCTTTCGTCTTCCTCAACCTCCTCTCTTTTAGGCTTCGTTTGGGACGGCTTTCTTACTGCTTCTTAAAGCAGCTTTTAAATACAAAAATTTTAAAACAGAAGCAGTAAGAAAGGTGTTCCAAACGAAACGTTAGTGTCTTCAGCTATATAAATAGCTCTTCAGGAGTCATTATTAAGTGATTGTGTTTGTTTTCTCTATTTTCTCATAGTTTTGCTTCTCAGAGGGAAGTTTTTGTGTATCATGGCTTATGCTATAGGGCTTTCTTCCTTTTGTTTTTCAGCCTGCTAATAATTGTTTTAATACCTTTCTGATGACATTACATAATAATTCTATCTTTTAATGACATATTTCACATGTTTTGCCTGCTGTCACTGCTGTGATCACAGCCAATAAATTTTCATATCCAAAAGATTGCTTCATTTAGAACAGTTTTCTTACAATTTTTTAAGCCAGCTTTCTAGTATACATTGGTTTTCATAAAAACTGTCTCAACCGAAGCCTAAATTGAAATCAACCAGGGTGATTGTTGCAATTGGTTCGGAATTATTCTCAAATCTCTTGCATGTTAAACAATATCCTTCAACCAAACTTAGGAATCTTCTTGAATTATTATAAGGTCTAATCAAGGTTGTGAAAATTGGATCGGATGATGAAGCGTAAGAGCGAAAGGTTCATGGTTGGATAGTTTGATCGGGATTAAATTGAGGTAGAACAAGATCATGTCATAAATAATAATTTTATTTAAAAATAATAAAATTAATAAAATATGTGATAGAAAATGAAATGGAAAAAAAATTATGAAGCATTTGAAAGATGGGATTATCACAAACAACTATTGTTTAAGAAACAACAACGTGATTAAGGTCATTTGTTGCGGTATAAACATGTCTATTTATTTTTAGGTGTGAACTTTCTTTTAAGGAATTAATATATGTAAAAAATTCCTTCCTTAAAGATCTCTTAGTTTTGCTCATATGTACGGGTATTTTAAAACCTGACTCAAATTTGATTAAAAATTTTATGGTTATGGTCAACCCGTTCGGCAAAAGGATCTGATTCGGGTTCTAAAATTTGACCCATTTGAAAAATTAGATCTGATCTGAGTCAGCTTCAGAACTGGTTAATCTATAGTAGACCCGGACTGAACCGATTCATCTCTTCTTATCTCTTCTTTTTGGGCTGAAGCGCGGGATCTCTTCACACTCCTGCTCTCATCTACTTAAACCTCTGACTCGAAGAACCCAAGACCCCAAGGCGAATTATTATGTCCGGTCACCGGACGTCCGGACGGCCAATCCAGATACACCACATCACCCGAATATATTGGGTCCCTATGTATTTTGGTGACATGGCACATCTGGATTGGTGTCCGGACGAATCTAGACACCAGATGTAATAATTTTCCCCCAAGGCGAATTATTATTTCTTGTCACCGGACGTCTGGACATCCAATTCAAACGTATCATGTCATCCAAATACACTAGATTCCTATATATTTTGGTGACTTTACGTAATAATTTTCCCCCAGCCTTTACTCTCCCTCTTACCCATTGGTTCCGCTCTGGAGAAGGCTGAAGCCTCCCGATTTCCCTCTCCTGGCCGAAGCTGCGAGCAAGACTTCACTTGGCTAGGGATATGTTCGAGTAGGAGCTCCGATCCTCTCTGGCTCGTACGCCCCAGCCAGGCCGATCCCTCCTCCTCCGCTCCCTTGCTCTTGTTCAACTTCAGCCCTTAGGCCACACGCCTACTCCCGAGCCATGGCAAATCAATCTAGGTATCAGAAAGCCAAGCTGAGGACCTTCCAGCACCTAAATCCCGCCCTAATCTCAACTGATGAAGAAACTCCTTCCGGCTCCAATCGCAACCAACGCCTCCTTCGACGACGTTCCTTCCGGTCGGGTCGGCAGCTCGCCGTTTCTTGTTGGATCGGAAGTAAAGATGACGACGAGTTGAGGGGTCGTGTTGGATTGACCCAGGTCTGAAGCAGGGTCAATTTCAGGTCTGAGATAGTGACCCGTTATAAAAAAGCTTTTATGTTAAGTCTAATAAAACAAGATTATCTAATTCTTCATTTATATTTCTAAACTTTTTGTATTAATTATGTGTTGAGGATGTGGTGATATATCCAAGAACAACACAAGAAAAATCATCAATTTACTTGGATTCTAGAACTAAGAAAAATCATCAAATTACTTGGATTCTAGAACTACCAGCCAATATAAAAGATATTATAGTCATGGTCAAGGCTTCAAATTCATTAAAAAAAATTAAATGAAAATTCCCTCATCTTTTTAGGACAAAAGCTTCAAAATGTAGAGAAGAAATTACAAATACATAGAAGTTACAGGCTTAAAGAGAAGAGAAGACCAAAGATATTTCCAACCTCTCATTGATGTTTCATAACCTTACAAATAGTGCAATCTAGAGTTGAGTTTAAGATCATATAAAGCTCAAGTTTATGATAATGCTCCTACTAAAAAGGTTCCTAATTTGGCCTTAGGGCCTCCAAACATAAAAAATATTAGATTTTCATCAAGGAAATTAATAAAGCAAATATACCAATTTGTTATTGGCCATTTTTAAGACTAACTAGGGGCCTATTAAGACAAAAAATGTAAATACGTATAAGATTTCATTTGGGATAACTTTCTTATTGCTTTGTAATACAATATTTTAATATATTTTTTTTATATTAAAAAACTGCTTTAGAAAGCAATATGAAAGTTATCCCAAACAAAACATAAATCCATGCAATAAAAATTAGGGTCCTCTTGCAGAAACAAGCACATGAAGGCCATTTGCCATGGAGAGTATAGTCATCATCTTATACTGAACTGGAGGATGACAAGGCACAAGCTTAAAGTGAAAGAATCTGCAGAGTATGGCCAATGTCATCTTCATCTGTAGATAGGATGAGTCTTTCCCTAGGCACATTCTAGGCCCTGCTTGGAATGCAGTGAACTTGAAAGGTGAGACATTATTTTGAAAGACAAAATCATCTTTTAGCCATCTCTCAGGACAAAACTTTGATGCATCATTGCCCCAATTATACTCCATTCTTCCCATTGAATAAGGAGTGTAGGTCACCATTCCACCAGCCCTCACTTTTGTTCCATCTGGCAAAACATCATCCTCTAGAATGCCTTTTGGGTCCTGATATAACAACCAAGCAACATATCTCATCAATTTTCAAATCCACTAATGCTTCGTTTGTGACGGCTTTCTTATTGCTTCTTAAAGCATCTTTCTCGTACAAAAATGAAAAATTAATTTTTTTTTTACTAAAAAACTGTTTTAAGAAGCAATAAGAATGCCGTCTCAAACGAAACCTAAATCTTTACATATCTAACATATGAATCTTTATGTTTCAAACACATTAAAATATATTTACAAAACAACTGCATTTTGCTTTAGATAAGTTAATGTTAGCGCTATTTATGATGTTATTTGGGATTACGGCGTAATAAAGGGGGATTCACATATAAATAAAAAAATATCGCTAACATATCTCATCAATTTTCAAATCCACTAAATCTTTACATATCTAACATATGAATCTTTATGTTTCAATCGCATCAAAATATATTTACAAAAAAGTGTATTTAGCTTTAGATAAGTTAAGATTAGCATTATTTATGATGTGATTTGGGATTACGACGTAATAAAGGGGGATTCACATATAAATAAAAAAACAATATTTATTTTTATATGTATAACATCTAAATATTTATATTTACTTATATGACACTTTAATATCAAAATCATATAAAAAATACCACTAGCATTAACTTATATAAAGTGAAATACACTTTATTTTACATATGTTATGATGTGATTTCGACATTATAGTGTTATATAAATATATATACAGATTTAGGTGTTGGACGTGTAAATGTCTAAAAATTATGTGTTATATAAGTAAATACTCGTAAAAATACATATTAAAATTTTAGTGTTGGATATGTGAATATATAAGAATTATTTGGGATGCTTGCCTCCAGTAGAGTTTTTTTGCTAAGAACAAGCCTAACCTGAGGAACAGCAGGATACAACCTCAGTGTCTCTGTGATGCATGCATGGAGATAATGCAGCCTTGTAATTGAATCATAGTTTAAAAGCCTTGAAAATTGTGATAACCTGCTTTTGAATGAATCCATATCTTCTAAAGTATATGAAGCCAAATTTATATTTTCTTCTTCAGCTCTTATCTCTTCGAACGCCTTTAGCTCTGTATAGAGTTTTTCTGCCACTTGAGGTTGTGTTACTATGATATAGATAAACCATGAGAGGGTAGTTGCTGTGGTGTCTCTCCCTGCAATAACAAAGTTGAGTACCACATCTCTTAGGCTTTTTTCTGTGCTGAAATCACTCTCATGGTCAGCGACACCGAGCTCGATGAACCTGGATAGTATGTCATGCTGTATCTGTTGCTTAGAACAATATGTTTTAGTGAACTCACATTCACCTTGCAAATATTCTATATAAGTGTAGAATTAGACTTATCATGAAAGAACATTGCTTTTTTGTTTAAATGTATCTCATCTGTTAGGATTTGTATATCAAATTCAAATTTCAAAATAAATTAAGGGATACACAAATATGCTATAGATATTAGTTATTTAGTTGTAATGAATGCTCAACCAAAGTGTTTAACTTAAGAAATATTTCTTCTATTTTTCTTGTCTATATGAAATATATTGTAGTGACTATTGTTGAATCACCAAGCTAAGCTTCATATATAATGATTATATCAAATTGAAGAACATTATTAACTGAACAATAGCACTTACCTCATCACTGAACCCATTCTCTCTGGCTCTCATGATCTCAGCTTTCCTTGTACGAATAACATTGTAGGTGAACTCATCAACAATTTTAATATTTTGCATGAGAATAGCCTCTGATCCTACACAAAGAAACCTCTTCAGCCTCCATAAAGGATCGATAAATCGTAGTGTTACGATCATGTTTGCGTTGTCGAAAGCCTGAGCAAAGCTATTATCAGGGAGGTGAGGAGACAGTGTCCCTATCTCCACTCCAAAACCCAACTTGCATATGGAGTCCAATGTCATCCTCATGAACAAATCCTGAACTTAGATAATCTTGATCAGACAACAGAACACTGCTTCATGCTATGTTTGGTAAAGTATTATTTTTACTGGTTCGTGAGTAAAGATTGATGAAGGCTTCGTTTGGGACGGCTTTCTTTCTGCTTCTTAAAGCTGTTTTTTTGTAAAAAAAATTAAAATTTTTGTACTAATAAGCTGCTTTAAGAAGCAATAAGAAAGCTGTCCTAAACGAATCCGAAGTGAATAACAAAGAAGCAATTAACATCCATGTTTCCTCCAAAATATTAATGTTTTTTTTTTCATTTTGAACTCTCTAGGAGATATTAAGGTTTCGTTTGGGACAACTTTCTTACTGCTTTCTGAAAAAGCTTTTTAGTAAAATATATTATAGTTCAAGAAATTTTTGTACTAAAAAACTGTTTTAGAATGTGATAAGAAAGCTGTCTCAAACGAAACCTAAGTTGAAAATGATCTATAGCTTTGCTAACAGATCTAATAACAAAGGTTTCCCATTGTGATGGAACTTTTAAATTACCATAAAACTTAGATTAATTTACTAATGACAATTGTTTGATTGGTTGGTTTTGGTCTAACAGTATTACCTGGATATCTACACCTTGATGATCTCTGCAGGATGCTTGGCATAAGATGGTAGAGAGGTTTAAAGCATACTCCCTAAACACAACGGTGCTTAGTTCTCTCAAGTTCTTGGAAGCAAACTCAAAGCTCGCTGTCTTCCTCTGCTTCCTCCACAGCTCTCCATCTGCGTTAAATATCCCATCTCCTAGCAGAACCTCCATGTAAGACCTATAAAGCTCTCCCTGCACCATTTGAAACATTCACATAAATTTAAATACATGAAATATTCATATATAAAGAGAGAGAGGTCAAAATGATCCATGGAGTATTTATATGAGGCCATTTTAGCCACAACTATCTAACATGTTCAATTTAATTCGAACTCTTCAAATACAATTCAAAGAACAATCTCTTTATTGAATTATTCAGGATTATAGTTGAGGATTCAAGAGACTCTAAGGTTTCGTTTGGGACGGATTTTTTACTGCTTCTTAAAGCAGTTTTTTAAAATTTTTTATTAAAAAGCTGCTTTAAGAAACAGTAAAAAAAATCATCTCAAATGAAACCTAAATTGAACACATTAGATAGTTTAAGGCTTCGCTTGGGACGGCTTTCTTACTGCTTCTTAAAGCAGCAAGAAATTCATCCCAAATGAAGCCAAGACTTAAGTGGCCCCATGAGCACTCTATGGATCATTTTGACCTTTCTCTTCCTATATATATACATAAGTAGAAGAAGATTTTTTTTTTCAACCTTGGGGTAGTTTTTGAAGTTGTTCTTGAGAATGTGCTCTACATTTGCAGGATCTGCAGTGTAAGTGTAAGTAGTGAAGGGCATGGGAACACTAATGGTCTTTGACTCAGATAAGTAATTGGCAATCCAATCATGCATGCGATCATAGTTCTTAAACTGTTCAATGGCAGCTCCAATGAGAGGCCATGTCTTCGGACCTTTGCGATTTCTCTGTGCCCATCTATGGATGAGGATCCAACTGATGAAGAAAACTATGCAGAAAACAGGCAAATTTGAGGAATTCAAAGAAGAAGACATCAGTGCATGCAATGTTAATCTTCCTTCCTTCGGCTCTTACAGAATCCAAGCTTTGTTCCTTCATATATTTGATACAGTGGAGGATGGTGATGAGGATGCTCAGATGTAGTTGGGAATTTGGAAGGAAGTGAAAAAGCTGTAAGTTGTGTCTCACCTAACTTAATCCTAAGTTCTAACCTCTGAAAACAGATTTTTGAACGCAGGAGGATTGAACTGGCGATAAGGTAAGAAGTAGATGCTTTTTCTTTCAGATATATACTGTTTTCTGTTAAAATCTTGATTTTACTGAAAATCTATATGCAGACACCTACGAGCTGTTGTAGAGGATCCGTCATATACATAACGTGCTATCTTTAAGCAAGCATAGAAGCCTGTGAGGAATGCAAATATCTATGAACAGCTGCATGAGATTCGTTAGTACAGGATAGTATACATGCAATCCTGCATACAGTAACAAGCGACTCGTAGCGCGTCGCTACAACCTGCCCGTAAGTAAGGGTGGAAGATTTATGCTGAACATGATGCAACCCATGTTAGCCCTTGGATACACATTGATGAACCACAAACATCATTAAATAAAGCTTGCAATGCAAACAGCTCGTTGCCAAGAGGCAACAAGCGTCCCAAACCTTGCAAACGCTATGATTCACCTGTAAGCAAAAGCAAGAAATCAATAGTAAAAACCGTGGGCCACTAACATGCAACTGGATACACAACACTCGTATAAGCAATCAGAAGGCATTTCTCAAGCTTGAAATGAAATTTTGCACAAACTTCAGCGACAATTATTTGGCGCGAATAATTATATTTAAATATTTAAATGCTCCCCCTTTTGCATTAAAATATTATTACCCGCATTGGCCCCGAAGAGCGTAATGCGTGCACACATGTGACTTCTGAGGATGCTACGTGGGTTAAGAAATGAACTTAAGTTCAAGCACGATGCTTATATGAGAGTGGATAGGAATCGACATTGTTTGAACTATTAAATAAAAATACGGTCGTGACATCGACCGAGATATTTATTTTAAACATTTATAGTAGACCTTCAAGGTCTATAACAAAGAAAATTTGCTAATAAAGACATAAACTCGATAAAGAATCTGATACTCTATCGATAAATTGACATAGTCAACAAGATTTAACCAACAAAATAAAATTGTCATAAATACCCTGATGAGGGATTAAAATTTTCAATCGGAGAGAATCACAAATATTTATAATATCCCCGAAAAGCCAATAAAAATTCACTATCCCAAAAATATCAAACTTTAAAATATTTAAAATTAAAAAAAAAAAGCATCAAATTGACTTTCCAAATTAAAATTGAGAATATTACCCAAACAATGATTACTCACAGTGTACGTCGTCTCGCCACAATTACCCCCCGAAACCTCTCTCTTTCATAAATGATCTACGAAATAAATTTAAGAAATTAATTAAATTTTCCAAAATCACAACTCTTTTTTACCAAAATATTCTTAAAATATACTCTCTATCTCAAAATCATTTTCTAAAACAACTTTTTAGTACAATTTATTAATTTAATATTTTTTGTACTACAAAGTTGTTTTAAAAAATAATAAGTAAGTCGTTCCAAACGAAACCTAAATAGTTGCAAATTAAGGGTCCATTTGATAAAGTTTTCTCACTTATTTATTTTTAAAATAATAATTGTAATTTTATTTGACTATTATTTTTTTACTATTTTTGTGAAATTTTTATAATGGAAAGATGTTTTTCACAATGAAAATAATGAAGTTATTTTTCTCACAGTCATTTCACAACCAATTTCATAAAATATTATAACCGTCCCAAATTGACTCTAAATTTATACATTTTGTAACAAGTATTTGTTAAGGCTTACTACATAATTTTATTTTCTTTTATTGCATAGATTAACCTTTATTTAATATTGTACCTTGACCTACACTCATAAATAGAGAGTTAGGCCTCGTTTGGAATGACTTTTTTATTACATTTTTAAAACAGAATTTTAGCACACAAATTAAACTTTTGTGCAAAAATTTTGCTTTAAAAGATAATAAGAAAATCTTCCCAAACAAAACCTCATAGGATAAATCTTACGTATCCATCCTATACACATTTGTAGTAGTTGGTGAGACACACACAAACTATCTTGCAAACAACAGTAGCTATTAAAGTAACCACATGATCAAGGCTTCGTTTGGGACAATTTTTTTACTATTTTTTCAAAGCAATTTTTTAGTACAAAAATTTCTTGAAATGAAAATTTTTGCGATAAAAAATTGATCTAAAAAGCAATAAAAAAGCCGCCTCAACCGAAGCCTAAATCTTATGCTCCTCTCGATTACCAAATTATTCTTTTACTCTGAGGAATGCTGTAGAAGTTGGCCAGATACTCCAAAGCCTCACCATTTCCATTGCAAACCCTCCACAAAGAAGCAATCTCTCCTTCTGCAACTGCTCCCCATTTTTCACAGTCATGGAAGAACTCCAACAGTTTTGAATAGAAGGAATCATAATTCATGAGGAGGAATGGAACTGGAAGCTTTGAACCGATCCTATCCAATTGTATCAAGGCCAGAATTTCAAACACTTCATCCAATGTCCCAATGCCTCCAGGAAAGGCAACCACGACTGTCATGTCTGATGGTTCATTCCTCACAGCTGCATCCACCAGACCATGCTTACGGGCGGAGAAAAACCTGTTGTGGAGATTAGGGGTGTAAGTGAGCCGAGCCGGCTCGAGTTCGACTCGTTTATGGGCTCGCGAGCCGAGCTTATCGAGCTCGAGCTCGAGCTCGTTTAGTTAACGATCTCAATGAGGCTCGGCTCGTGAGCTTGCGAGCCGGCTCGAATTACTGTTTGATTTATTTTAATTATTAATTTTTTTATTACAATAAGCTAAAAAATCGAAAGCAGCAGCGTTAATGTTTAAGGTAAGTTCAAATAAAAAAAGTTTAAACACTAAAAAGCAGTCAAATTTTCCCAAAGCGTCAGCATTAATGTTCCTGTGAGATTTCCAAAATAGTGAAATTAATGCTGCAACTTTAATCATTACTAAAACAGTAAAATTTTAATATAATTTGAAAGTTATATCCCAAAGCAGCATCATTTTTTATATGAGGAGATTTGCATCTTTTCCAAAGCAGCAGCCATCAAAACCTGGCTAGAAAACAAAAGCCGGTGGGAAGCCGGGAAACCGAACGGGAAACTAGAAAATCGAGCAGCTCGATGAACTCGTTACACTATCGCGAGTTGAGCTTGACTCAAGTTCGAGCTCGGGATTTGAAAATCGAGCTCGACTCGAATACCCTCTGACTTGAGCTCTAATCGACTCGTTTGCACCCCTAGTGAAGATTGTCTATAGTTTAATAAAAAAGGTACAAAAAGATTAAAATGATCTATGGCTTCTTTATGCAGCTATTTAAAGAGTAAAGAAATTATTTTGGATCAGATTTGAGATCTCAATGGATAAAATTGGATAAATTAGTTTGTTTAAGACTAAAATAACACCCTATAAATAAACCAGACCAATTTTACCTGTTTGTTAAGGGAAAAACAAAAAAAGTTTTGAAGAGTGGGTATTGTGAGATTACCTGCAAGTAAGGTAGCTTTCAGAAGGGAGGTAGGGATGGAAGTTTGAACTTGACCATTCACCAGATTCTTTTGCTATCTTAAAGCCACCAACTGGCTTATTTGCTTCCAAAGCACCTTTGATGGCAGCATCCATGAGGCCAGGACCAGCTCCTGTCCATGTGGTGCATTCCAGTAGTCTTGCAATCTAAGGAATATGCACAATCCATTAGATTTTGGCTTTGTTTGGGACGGCTTTCTTACTGTTTCTTAAAGCGGCTTTCTAGTATAAAATTTTTATTTTCATACTAGAAAACAACTTTAAGAAGCAGGAAGAAAGCCGTCCCAAACAATGTGTTGAAACTCATCATAATTACAATGAAACTAATAAATCTATTGCTTATAACATAGCCTCCATCAATAGAATTATACACCATAAGAAATGTGGTTTAATGTCATTCAAAGCAAAATCAATGAAAGATTACTAACTCCTAAATCATTCAAAAAAGAACAATTATTTTTTAACTATTGGACATATATAAAAGAAATAACTAAAACTTTCTACAAAATCTATCCAAAGCATAAGCACTCATGGATGATCATCATAATGCTAGAAGTCAATATAAAATCAATACTAAATTGATTTTTTTAAATGGAGAGGCAAATTAATTACTATGACCAAAGTTCTTCCTGAATCTATTAAAGAAGCCTATTCAAAATATATTGAATCATCACCTCCTATTCCTTTAAAAAATAAGAAAAAATATTCATCTACTTCAGTAAAGTTGCATTGAAAAATATTGTTTTATTAAAGTTGTTTTTGAAAAGAAATTATTCCTTTCACTTTATTCTTGGATGTAAAAATTTTATTTTGAAAACCAAGTCTAGCTCCCTCTCTCTATATAAAGGGAGATAATATTTGTTGTAGGACGTGTTTAGTTTTGAATGTTGTGGGCTCCGAAAATTTTAGTTTCTAGGGCTCCGGCCTTCTGTATTATATTCGGGGAAAGTTTTAATAGATTAAGTTCCGGGGGAAATTTTCGGAAGGCAAATTAGATAGAGATAAGATACTACCCAAGATTTTTTCCCTCTTAACGAAGACTTTAAGATCTAAGTTCTAGTTTCCTATAGGCTCAATCCCCTATAGTTAATTACCCCTCTTGATAACAAGAGAACATTTTTTTATTAAGGCTTGTCGTTAAATACATACTTAGTATTCAGCGTATAGTAACACCAAAACTAGATATTTAAAAATGGAAAATTTATCACCTATCACTTAAAGCAGATGGTGGGGGCAATGATGACGAACTCGATCAAGATCCCATGATTCTGTCATCCCAGGTCATCATGATCCTTAATCTGCTTAGTTAGACGAGATAGTCGACCCAACCTAACCAAAGGATCATTGTCGGCAGCCATAGGTTACTTCGTCCAAAGTTATCTTGTAGACACGGGATAAATGTTTGTCTAAGGGATGAATTCAAGTTAACCTTAGCTAACAGAGGGCTTTGTACCCTATTGATCATATCCTATAATTCATTACTCAATGGTAAATAGTCATTGGAGAACATACGAGCCTTTAGCCATGACCATAATACAATGGAGTCATTCAACCAAACCAATAGGTTAGAGGGATGCGATCATAATCAATAACCACGTGGAGCCGGTTTGGCAAAGCCATAGGTTCTTTGTGGAGCCATTTGGCCAAATCATAGATTAGAGGATCAGTTATAACCATACCACGTAGAGCCGTCTAGCCAAGCTACAAGTTAAAGTGGAGCAATATTGGCCAAGCCACCAATTATAAGACAAATGTCACGTCCTTATTAACAGAATGAAATTTAAGAATGAATCTGAGTGATATTCTCAACTGGATATTTACTCTTTGTGAGCTAGAGTTACTCTTGAGTTCATCGCCTTCGTCAAATGGTTGTGGAGGGTGGATGAATTTTATTTTAAGTTTTAGATAATTAATCTTAATTTTAAATATTAGTATTCTTAATAGATGTAGAGCTTTAGAGATTTTAGTAGGATTCAAATTAACTCCTCCGGATGATATTAGCTTTCAATGCAGCCATCAGTGCAATGACGTAATTATTTGAAAATGTTTATATTTATAGAAATTTGAAGGCATTTATAAAAAATCTAAAGTCCCCTCCGATTGAGATTAACTTTCAAAACGACCATCATTAGAGATAAAATGTTTAACATGTTTAATTATCTGAACCTTATTGACTATGTTCGCCTGCTAATACTAACAGAGGATCGAGCTCGCTTTTTTGTGAACATACGTTTTGGACGTACAAAGAGATCTGAAAAGATATTTAAGTGATAGTTGTACAGACTTTTGAGTATGTAAATAAATTTTAAAGATTTTAGTAAAGCTCTGTATTTTAATTGAGATGTGCATTTTATTTGAGGTATATTATATATGGTTCATAATATAAAATCTTGATGTGTTATGATTAGTTATGTTAGGATAGTTTGAATATACTACTTTTAACTTGTCTAATTCTGATATCAGTGTTTCAGAATGGTGGTAAGTAAGAAGAAGATTTGTTCAGATTCTCTTTCTCTGTTACACTCTAAATTGACTGTAAGGGGTCAAAATGGGGTGTAATAGTAATGACTTCCAACATTAGGATGACCATCCATGAGTGCTTATGTTTTGGATTGATTATGCATAAAATTTTAGTTATTGTTTCTATACATGTCTAATAATTGAAAGTAATTAATATTATTTAATTGGTTTGGAACTTGTAATATTCCATTAATTTTTCATAGAAGGATGTAATGATTCAAAGACATACTGAAGCTCTCAGATTTTGAACAAGCAAAGAAAGAGAAGCCAAACACATTTAAATCAAACCCACACATGCCTTAAACCTTCACTGAATATAACTTTGACCATTAATTATGGTATGATTGTGTATCATTTTGATGTAATCAATCAAATCCCGAATTCAAATCATGTCACATACATATAACTTACCAGCATAATTGTGCACAAAGGTCAAAAATAAGGTGGAAAAGAGCAATCCCATCAAAACATACAAAAAATTTCATCACTCCTATGCAAGAAAAAACAAAAAACAAAAAAACTTTGAGGTTGCACGGTGTACGGCCACCTATTTAGATATGAAATTAAAAACCAAATGCATGAATGGCTACTTGTTTACATAGAAAAATTGTCCCCTTTTTTTTACGCCTTCATCAAGGCAAAGCCACAGTAGGACAACTCCTATTATCTTACTTCAAAATTCATAACAAGTACAACAAGGAAAAAAAGCTGAACAAGCACTATTTTTTTTTTTATTCTTATTCATGTGACAGTTGTATTATTAAGCTGAACAAGCACTAAAAAAAGCATATGAAAGAGAAAATAAATAACAAAATAATTTACTTTTTTTAACAAATATATAGCTGACAAAACTTATTTCTTTATGAAATAGAACATATTACTATTCCAAATAAAATTTTCATGAAAATGGATGAAAAGCTACTGATTTGCAGAAGCACTTACATCCCTTGCCAATTCCACTGCTTGTAAATAATGTGGATGATCATCTTTCACTCTTGAAGAACCTAAATAAATAGCTCCCCTTCCGAGCTTTTGAATAAGTTCATAACAGCTCTGTACCTCTTTCTTTACCTATAACCATATCCAGGAAAAAAATCAATTTGCACGCAGTCCCGGCAATATTCATATTAATTTTCTACTTCATTCAATTTAACTGAAACAGCATGAAATTAATACCATGACCGCAAATACAAAACTAGAAAATGAATAGAAAGTTACTACTTTGATGAGAAACAGAATAGAATCGCATCATTTGAAGAAGGAAATAGCTATGTAACAATTAAATAGCCAAACAAAGTCAAAAAGAAAATTCTCTCACAAAAAATTAAGATATGTTGAAAATTTTTGTTGTGTATATTCACATATGCCCACAGGTATTTCGTAGATACCTAGCAAATCATGGAAGAGAAATTTGCCCTTCAAGGGGGCTCATAGAAAGCACTCGCTTAGACCATCTCCAATGGAACGGCAAACAACTGTTTGTCGTTCTTACGTCGCTCCAACCGAGCAGCAATTTTGCCACTATTTCATCGCGGGTGAACAGTACAGCAACGCCAATATGTGTCAACGGGATTTGCCAGCGAAATAGAGAAAGACCGCATTTTGGAGAAATGGAGAAAGACAGTTACCGTTGTTCACCCGCTAAATTTTTGTGTGTCAACAGGATTTGCCCGCAAAATGGAGAAAGATGGTTACCGCATAAACGAGATGATGAAGCCCGTGAAATGGAGTTCGATTGGAGCAAAATTACTGCATTTTGGAATTTTGCTGCATTTTGTAGTGGAAAATAGGATTTTCGGTTGGAGATGCCCTTAAGCAATCTAAAAGGGTGAGATACTCGTCTAGAGACCACAGAAGGACTCACCTATCGGCAGGCATCACTTGTCTGGCTCCTCAGGCAACTCGTCTCGCACTGGATGACGCTAAGGCTCCTCGACAAGTCCCCAACTCGGCATCTGCAGGTGTCTTGATTCAACTATCAGCCTCTCTCAAAGCCCACCCCTCCATCCAATTTCAGTTATAGTAAAGCTGTCACCTAGGGTTCCTTACTCACCTTATCAGTGCCTACCACAACCCAATCCCTCAATTATCTCAATTTGCTCGCTTATTTCCACAAGACAATTCCAAGCTGGTCGCAGATCCCTATCAACTTTAATCTCCCTCACAAGTTTAAATTTTTAGGTTGAAAATGAATTTCATCACTATCCTGTGTAACCCAACTTTAATCTCCTTGGTTTCGGTGTTTCAACAATAAAGAACAAGAACAAACTGGCCGAGTAGACTAAAAATGGGCAATCTAACACGACTAACAGAGCATTCAATAGAATAAAAGAAAAGATGGGAGTATGATACTTGATCGGGGCTTGACCTCTGAGAAAGCTCCAGCGTCAAATCGGCTGAAAATGCTCGCGGGGAGAGCATTGCTACCCTATTTCGTCGGCCGCTACCTCCTGCTCCAATTTCAATCTTATTTCCGGGATGATGGCGACGCTTCATCAGAAGAACTCTTGAAGCAGAAGCACCGCCGGCGGAGTTGCAAGCCATTATTGTCAGTGATCCAAGCCGCGTTCTTCTTTGCGGAACTAGTGACTAACCCTTTCCAGTTATCAGTTCATCTTTCTACTATCTTATTCGCGAAGGCGGATCCGACGATGCTTGAAGGCCGAATGCGACTGAAAATTCGGCTGCCTCTCTCTTACAGAATCCAGCACAAGAAAGTGGGGCGTCGCAGCAACAGGGAATCAAATTCTCCGGCAATTCGTAGCACCCATTTTTTTAGGTTTTTTTTAAACCTTAAGGTCAATAAACACAAACTTCACATCAAATAATCAAGTTTTGAATTTAGAACCCCTTAATTTTTGTACTTGTTGCGTCCTGCAATATTCGTGGCGGTAGAAAATTATATAGTTTAACATCTTAGTTTTGTACGAAGATCCAACACATAAATAGATAATAAGTGTAGCGTTCATAAGAGAGCATAATTTTTGCTAGAAAATCCCTGAAAATGATAGAAAAATTACCGGGACATTGCCCAATCTGAATGGAATGCTACTTTAGTATTTGCAATTGATACAAATTATTCTCCATTAGGGGGGAAGGTCTTGTATTGACATAGCAAATATACATCATATAAAGTGCATATATGAGGGGATGTTGGAAGAATCAGTGCTTGATATATTCGTTTGCGAGCAGCAAGATCATAGTCGATGAGCGATGTAGGTCAGAAGGGTCATAGTTGAATAACGATGGTCAGAAACTATTCATATATATGATAGCATAATGCTCACAAGCATTTTGACTGTAATGTAATTGAATTTCATCGAGGTAATAGGAGTTATGTGAGTTTTTAAAATTAATGTATACGTGTATATATTTTATCTATATTTCATGAATTATTGTATTTCATACACCAATCAATATAGCATATAGAAATAGATATGACTGATATATGAATAAATGTTTATTTGCATGTAATAAAAATAAAAAAAAATGGCGTATTAAAAGTTTTATTATAATAGGCTCAATGAAACATTTATTCTCTCCAACAACCTAAACTTTCATGGAATGACTTCCTTCATGATTTTCAAATGGAGAGGAGAAAAGGATAGTTAGGCCTCCTACAAATAATTTTGCACCAATTTTATCATTTTCAAGAATCATATTATTATTTGCACCACTATCAATACATTTGCGGCCTCATTTGAATCCATATAATAAATTCCGCAATTATTTCATTTCAATTTATGCTGACTCCATTTTTTTTCTTTTCCATTCTTTTGTGGTGCCTATAAATTCAATAAAAGGTATCCACATTATTTTTTAAATAACTCACATTCTCAACCATCTCATAACTCAGCTGTCTTCAAAACTGCCCACTATCATTCTGTTAAGTTATATTCCTCTTTCTCGTCCTCTTTTTCGTACACTAATCATTATGGAAACTACTCCCGGATGCTCTTTACATCCTTATGATCAGCCTATGACAATTTTAATAGCCGGGTTGGATATTCAACTACTAAAATTGTTGCAACGAAATTAGAGTCACTTACTAGTAACTAAAAAAACTAATGCATGTAGTTCTATTATTCTCTGATTGACTGCTAAACATGTTCATGTTTGAACAAGTTAAAAATCAATAAATAAACTCGCCCTACAAATTAATGTTCGTGCTTATCAATAGAGAAAAACCAATGAAAAAAAAACTCACTCTCCATAAATACTACTATAGTAATCGATGCACACTTGGCGTCAATCACCACTCAAAGATTCCAACTGGCAAATCAAAACCGAATAACCTTCACCAACGAAAAAAAGCAACTACAAAATAAGTACAAGACACTTCCACAACATTATTAAAGAAATTGTGGGTACATAAAATCTTTATGTCCATTTAAAGAGCAACTTTAGCAATCTTTATTGCTTTTGCCCTTATTCTTTCCTACTAGTTTATTCTCCAATCCACAATAATTCCTAAGAATAAAAAGATTAAAATTATATGAATGAAGGATAATAGGAAGATCAACAAACCTAGCATTAACTATGCCTTCGTCTCCTCGTGGATGTCGCACATTGCTCGTTGTCTACGTCTCTAAATGTCGACGCACATCATGTCGCTCGCAGCAATACGTCGCCTCTCAATATTTGTCTCGCTTTCGACTTCTCGTGTCTCACTCATAGCGCGTCGTGTCTCTCCTCGCAACAGCACATTATTCTGTCTCCTGTAAAATTATACAAGATTGATATGCAGTCTTCATGCTCACGATCACTATCTATTGCAGACACATTGCCAGCTCGTAGCACCAATTCCTTCTCGCTCCTATCATTGCTCTAGGTTCGTCTCCATGGGATTGTTCTAGGAAGGCAAGGGAATGAGTAATAAGTCTCTTTACGTAAAATATCCACAAAAGAAATAAACACTTGCTGCTTCTTCCGTCAATTTTCCGAGGGATCAATTAGACAATATTTAATTGCTGAAGGACTAAAAGAATAAGAATGTGAAACTCTGAGGCTAAAAGGGGTGACTATATTGAGCTTTTACTCTTAAAAAAACTTACATTATTATAATTGATACGTCGTCACAAAATCACTTGATTGGGCACGATCTTGAGGCAAAAGCTAGTTGGAAACTTCAAAAAATTAAAATTTGGGAGCAAATGAACTCCGATTTCAGCGAGCTTACTGTCGAACTGAAGCCGACTCGGAAATACGAACACTTCTACGGAAGCACCATGAGACGCATCAGCTCAAAGGATGAATAAGATGAGTCATTGGTGAGACACCCGCTAAGTTTTTAATAAAAAAAACTTTACGACACCCCCCCCAATTTTTTGGAGCTTATTAATAGACAGTTTTTTTATATTTTATTTTTCGTGCAAAGATGATGAGCTGCCGATTAGCCCTGATCTTTTTACATGCAAATAACACATTAGCTCATATATCAGTCAGATCATTCTTCTATAATGTGCTGGGTAAGCAGTTTCAAACTCATAACATATTTTGAGGGTGGTGACCAAATAAATGCTGGTATAACTCCTGATGATGTAATTGACGAGACTATATACATACAATAATTCAGAATAGATCAGAATATACGGAGAAATATGATACACTATACCGTCATTAATTTGATTGTCTACCGTATTCCAATTTGACACCAAAAATCGATAAACTATCCAATTATGTTGATTCTGTTAACGACATCATTCTGAAATAGACTTACAAAATAGATATCCCCAACAAAATGGATTATCATGCACGCTTGTAGGATCCAAATTATCTATCAGGGTGAACCAGTCATCGACTTTCAACCACTCCCTATTCGCCCTTGATTCCTCCACCTATTTACGACCATGCCCACTCCAGAAAAAATCTAGAAATTGAGAAGGCCATCCCTCATATTTCTCTCTACAAAGATGCAGGAGATCCCTAAGCATAAGAGAAGACAAGAATGAGAATAGAATGAGGTATGAGAACTAGGAGCAAGAGGAGGAAGGAGGAGGAAGGGACAAGCTCCTAACCCTCTCGACCCACCCGCCGGAACCTCACCAGACCACCGCAGGAGCCTCGCCGACCCCACCCCGCCGGAGCGTCCTCGCCGTACCCACTACGTCCGTCCCACTTATGACGCAGTGTTCTGTCCCCGCCCTGACCTACAACCACCGAGCGTTCCTCCAAGGCCCAGCACGTTAGGCACCGTCATGTTCAGCCGGACGTTCGACTACTATATGATCTTCTCAGGACCGATGGCTCTCAAGCATCGGAAAAGACACGACTAGTTCCTGCATTAAGCAACCACACCTGATTCTATCCACGAATACTAGTCCACCTAGTCATGCCGCCTGAACGATCACCCGTAACCCTATAATCCTGGTCCCTTAAGGCCCGACCGTGCTTTATATCCCAGTCCTTAATGCTGCTGAATGAAATGGGATATCACGTTTGCCGTCCTTGTAGAGCTCGACATATCCAGTCTTTAACCTACGGGTCTACCTGCTGAAAGAAATACCCAGAAGCACCTTCCGTCCCCCTGCTCATATTGAAAGCGCAAGCGAGAATAATATTTGTGAATTCCGTACGAATCAGTTGCCCAAATACTTAAGTTTAGTTAGATTCATTCAGATTGACGTCCCGTGAGCGTCTGCTGTAAGATAGTCTATACCCCACCGAGACATGATTATCTTTAGAGTCTCCCTTACAACATAGTGTCAGTGCTCCTGACTTGAAAAGAAACGAAACAAGATGTTAAGATCAGTACTCAGAGACACAAAAAACATTGCACATAGAGTAGCGGACAACAACTGTAGTTAAACTCTGTGGTGCCAGAGATGACGGGCATATACGTACAGTAGGAAAGTCCCCGATAACGAACACATGCTACACTTAATATCTTTATCAACGCCTACTCAAGGCCAGACCTGTGATTCATACACGGATCTTCTATCTTTC